TCAGCAGATCCCCGCCGATTTGATCCGTCAAACCGCAGTGCTGAAGATCCAGCGCTTTCATCCATAAGCTGTCGCGTATAGCCTCGATCATCTCTATTACGGCACAGTTGCCGAGATGCGGATTATCGTTCAGAGTCAATCGACGTAATCCTGGCATTGCCTCGAAGTTGGGCTCGCGATACCTCAGCGATTGTTTCCAGGTGTCGTGATAAAGCGCTAGTTTCTGTCTGGAGAGCGCGGATGCTAACGGGCCACCGCTGCTTGACGTGAGGTCGCAGTGACTGAGATTCAACGACCTCACGCTGCGATTGTCCGCTATCGTTCGGCAAATTAATTCGCAGCCGGTGTCGCCAATGTAGCAACGTCGTAGGGACAGGTGGTATAGAGTTTCTGTTCCCGACAGACCGACACAGAGCACTGCAATGCAATCCGGAGGAAACGGGATGCCCTCGAGTTCCAAATGCGTGAGGCTGGACGAATTTCTCACGCATTGGCCGACGCTCTGCGACAGCCATTCCAACAAATAACGCGTGAGGACCACCGGGGCCTTACCCATCGCTCGCGCCTTGTCCTCGGAATTCACCTCTTCTAACGGTTTACGGCATTGATACCTGATGGACATGGATGCGGTCTCTTGTATCTTTGACAAGCTCGAAAACAGTGAAGACAAACTATATTTCGTTTTCTAGAGTAATTTTTTTTCCCGAGATATTTAATTTAATAACAAACATTCTAAAAAAATTAAAATTAAAAAGAAATAATTTTTCAAGAAGCATAGATAATGTACAAAGATAATCGGAAATTTACATGTATATTTTATCACATGTATAATTCATTAACATTAAAAATTAATTTAACACTGCCAAATTTATCAGTAAAAAATAATGACAAAACCTTATATAAATATCAATTGATTGGCATCAGAGAAATAAATAAACAACGTGAAAATATCAAAATAATAAATTAAAAATATACATGTGTATTCCACATCATATCTATAATCAAGTAACTTTAAAAATTAGTTTAACGTCGCTAAATACATTATTTAAAAATGGCTCGTATAAAAATCAATTGAGAGTCATCAAAAAGAAATAGAAAATAACAACGAAAATATCAATGTAATCGGTTATTTTGCAACCTGCTGTGCACGCTAATCGATTTGAGTGAGCGATCGAGGGAAAGGGAGTTCAAGATCGGGCTCCAATCGTCCATTTTGACGCGATCGGTGGTAAAGTCCAAGCTGTGCGGTAGGGTGACACATATAACCGGCAACGGTCGTAATCGTTGTTGCTTGCAAAGTTCCATATAGCAGCTTGCGAAGTTCCTGCCGGCCGGGATCGCCATTTTCCGCGGCGAAGCCGGCGCGGCCGCATCGATCTTCCGTCGGCGTCGCGACGGAATTTCACCCCCGAGGGTCGTAATGTTGCCGGTGGTCTCGCCTCCAGAATTATGAACAGTCTCGGCCGCTGTTGTAAATCGGCGCATTATCAGATCCGCCCTCTCATCGCTTGGTATAAGGAGCCTTGTTTTTAGACATTTAAACGGAGGCCAACATATTCTTGAGAAAGACGATATATATCTTGAGAAATTACCTTCGCCGTTGTTGCTTCGCCCGTGGACTAACCCCGATCTCACCGCGAAACGTCATCTGCACTATCAGATTTGGAAGAGATCGCCGAGTTGCGAGAAAAGATTTCGTCGAAAGGGCTATTTTTCGAAAACATCGACGGCTTTCCTTCTCGATCGTAATCGCTATACGCGGGCCTACCTACCCGAGCTCTACATAAAATTTCCGCTACGCGGAACACGACGAACCTACAAACGAAACTCACACGCGAGCGGACTGAACATCGTCGATTGCGATTATTTCGCTCTGATTTATTTCACTCTGATTTAGCCAAATCGAGTTTGCATTTGCTAAATTTTAACGTGATACTTTATAATTGCATGAAATTCACTTCGAAATGGACATATAAAAAGGAACAATATCAAAAAAAAGTCATTCCTTTTTCAATTTAAAAAAAAATTTTTAATGTTATTCAAGAATAAATAATGTTTAAATATTTCTTTTTAAACTTTTAAAATTTTCATATTTCTATAGAAATTAAATAATTACATATAATCATTTTTTATTATTCAGATATTTTAATCCTTTCGGCACATTAATTGTTTCTCAGACCGCCAGTCTCTCTAGCTATGGCAAGATACACTACGCCACTACCTCTACCCACAGTCGCACCGACGACAAACTCTACGAATAATGCAGCAACACCACCTCGACAAGACAACGAGGACGGTATGCATCTTGTACATTTCTAATAATTGCTATGCTGAAAAAAATTATTAATTTTCTTTCACATATATATAATAATATTTTTTGATAAAAAAGGTGACATGCATACACGCACATATTTTTATAAATTTCAGCAAGAAAAGTATTATATTATAAATATATAATTTAATATGCACAATATTTGTTTTATTCTATTAAAGATATATAAAACTTTTTTTCAATGATCCTCTTAATTCAAATTTCCACGGAAATTTGCATCAGCGCCATTCACGGTTTAATCGCTTGCTATTATCACAGCTGTCACAAAGAGTATACATAAGATAGAAAAGAGTTTTATGTTTAAATAGGTAACGCATCCGAGGATAGTATAGATGTAACGAACGAGGAGCCATTGACACCTCAAAGAAGTGGATGCGCGCAGCTTCCACCAATACTCCCGTCATTATATTCACCCGCGAGTGCCGAAACGGTCTACGAGACCAGCGCGAGGCTGCTCTTCATGGCCGTCAAATGGGCGAAGAATCTTCCCTCTTTCGCTGGTTTGCCATTCAGAGATCAGGTAATGCTTTACCAAATTTACGATTACAACTCACTTGCAATATAGAAATTTAACATATATATATATATATATATATATATATAAGTATAACGCATTTTTATTTGATAATTTATTTCGATGTTGATGAATGATATGTGATCGTGGCAAGAAGTTGTCCAGAATTAATATCAGCAAACAATATTCAGCAACGATAAATTAAAAGCGATAAATAAAAAATATGAATGATACATATTTATATAAAAAGAAAAGAAAAATTTTTTAAATTCTACTATATATACTAAATCTAATTATAATAAAAATATCATGAAGATTTTTTAAATACAATTAAAATCTAAAGATTAAAAATCTGATTATTATGCTAAATCTGATTATAATAAAAATGTCAACAAATATAATAATAATTAAGAATATTATAATAATGAAGATATCAGATATTATAATAAAGAATAGCAGAAAAATCCAGATGTAATTAAAATGGCGAAAATATAGAGAGATAATAATACACCAATTTTTAAATAAATCATAAATATTTTGATCGATCGTGGTTTAGGTAATATTGCTGGAAGAGGTCTGGTCGGAGCTGTTCCTCCTCAATGCGGTTCAATGGTGTCTGCCACTCGAATCGTCGCCTCTCTTCAGCGCTGCCGAGCTGACTGCTCTGACCCTTTCGCCGCATCCGCATCCGCACTCGGGACTACACCTACAAACCACTACGGGAAAACCTAGTCAAGTAGCGGCGGATGTCAGGCACTTGCACGACACCCTACAGAGATATAAAGCGGTCATGGTCGATCCCGCGGAATTTGCCTGCATGAAAGCCATTGTTCTCTTCCGCCCAGGTTAGTGACTTTCGATATGTTTTATACATGCATAACATATAAAGTATATATAATTTGTATTACTTTTATTATAAAATACATTTCAGAATTTAATTACAAACTATTCTCTCTTCATCTCTGCTCTTCTCTTTCTCTCTCCCTATTGTTTAAAAAAATTTGTTTTTAAACTTAATTTCTTTAAAAAAAGCATAGTCACGATAATATATCTGCGCTTAATTATTCAATTTCGCAAATTGGCACGATATTCTGTTGCAGAAACCCGCGGCTTAAAGGACTCCAGTCAAATTGAGAATCTGCAGGATCAGGCACAGCTAATGTTGGGACATCACGCGCGCGCTCAACAGCCGAATAGCCCGGCCCGTTTTGGCAGGTTGCTATTGCTGCTCCCGTTGCTGCGAATGGTTCCGGCTGCAAGAGTGGAACTGATTTATTTCCATAGGACCATCGGCAATACACCAATGGAAAAAGTCCTTTGTGACATGTACAAAAACTAAAAATTATCTCGAACATTAGAAGATTCCCCGAGAATTATAAATTGCCACTATGAAATTGATAACGCGAATTAGTATGCAGAATCCAAAAGATTTGGCGCTAGAACAAGGATTTACGGAAGGTGGAATCAATCACCGAAGGTGGACAGCAAAGACTGGCAAACGAGACTTTCCTAAAAATGTAAGAATCAAAGAGCAAAGCGCGCGCGCGCTTTGTTCCGATACGATCAGGCCTAAGGACAAAGTCCTAAGTCCCTTCGAGATGATCATAAGATAATAAATTCGATTGGCAAGTATTCCTACCTTACAAACGCGAGGCACAGGAAAAATGGCGTCGCTAACGAATAAAACGGCAACTAAAATCGAACGAGGGGCACTCAATCGCGGCGTAAATATACACATATAGACACATACATATAGTATATGTATTTATTTATTATAGACATATATATATATATATATATATATATATATATATCTCGCGCGATACTCTGCACGCTTTTAGAGAA